GTTGTGTTCTCAAATATGGAGACATCAATTCAACAAGGTCCGATGTGGTGTAATGGCTAACATCGCTGTCTCTCACACAGCAGCTCGGGGTTCGATTCCCCGCATCGGAGTTCTCTTTTGCTTTTTTTTTTTTATCTCACATTACAGAGTCCAAATTTTACTGGTCTTTCTATCTTGTGCGCTCTTGGTATAGCAACACCTCACTCAATACATAAGGAAAAAACTATGAAAGTGATATCATATCATATTCATCACCACCACAAAATGTTCGTTCATCCAATTCTCACCACAACCACATCCGCCTTTCCGTGACCAATTGAAAATTTGGCCATAGATGAATGGAAGGTAAAAAGAGAACTCCGATGCGGGGAATCGAACCCCGAGCTGCTGTGTGAGAGACAGCGATGTTAGCCATTACACCACATCGGACCTTGTTGAAATGATGCCAATCTCTTATGTATATGATGTCTTTGCTTTCGTTTGACGGAGTTGAACCCTAACCCGAATTGAAGCCTGAAACTTACAGCCTCCTAGTGAATGAAATGAGAGTTCAAGCTATTGAATTGATTCAAGACCAAGCCTGGAAGACTGCCGGCTAAAATTAAAGTAGCAGACAAGAAATTCAAGTCGTTATTGTCTCGAACACCATATTTTGAAGACGGAAGCTGTCCCGGAAACACTCAAGGCAGCGCCTGGCTGCTTCACCATTGCCATCAATGAATGGAGAATATCTTAACCATTGAAGTGAAGAGATAATTCCTCCTCTTCACTCTCAACCTTCCACCATCTGTGACATAAAAAAAATCTTTGTCCTCCTCCTTCTCTTCTTCTTCTTCTTCTTCTTCTTCTTCTTCTTCTTCTTCTTCTTTCTCCCTCCTCCATCTCCTCCACCTCCATCCATCTTCATCCTTCACACACCACTCAATACCTGACAAGCCTTTGGCCCCTTGAGGAAAGGTGACTCCAAGTTAGGATTTGCTACTATCTTTGTGGCAAGTCCTCTCCCTCAACCCCTGTTCTCCCTGCCAGTCCACACCCCGACGCAGCGTGGATTTCCGCCGTCGGCTACAAGGTTGATACTACATCGGCCCTTTGAGGACCTCGACATCAGTCAGAAGCGCCATGAAAAGTGCTGTGATGAAGTCACGACGGTCCTCATCAAAGATTAGAAAGAAGGCGTGGGCCGAAGAGGTTCGGCGCCTCGAAGCTCTTTTCGACTCTGAGCTCCAAGCTCCATCTTTGTGACAGACACCAAGGAGGCAGCAGTCTAAAATGCAGCCGTTGGAGCAATCAGCGCGGGAATCCAGACAAGGGTCAAGCTTGGATGGTTTCAATGGTTTTGCTGAGTGGACTGAAGCAAATTCATGGCTCAGAGGCTCATCGTGACCACTGCCGGAAAGCTTATCGAAGCTATCCGTGTTCGATGAGATTGTACCAGAGATTCGTCGATGCTCAACCGCTGCGAGGGCATCCGAAACAATTTGTCCGAGAATGGCAATGGGGAGCGGAAGTCCAACAAGTCTGTTTCTCTCGTTCGAGGGTAGTATGCTAATATCTACAGCCCACACTCGAACAGTAACGGAATCGATTTCGCAAGCGGGGCGCCTGTGCGAAATCCTCGGTGCCAACGATTTCACTGTTGTGCACTCAAGGATGCCGGATGAAGTCAGGTTGGCACGTGTAGTCGCAATCTCTACATCAAGAAATATCACTCATTGGATGCCGGATTTCCCCACCTGGCAGCGCCCTGCTGCGCAAAGTTCGACCACTGTGGGTAATCGCTTCATATGCTACGACCCAGAGAGTACGAGATTGGCACTGTGACCGCAGATGGAGGCGGTACTCTGCTCGACAATTCAGCGGAAAGGGGTCTCCACTGGCCTGTGGTCTTAAATAGTCAAAAGACTCGCGATTGCATGGTCGTTCCCGGGGGAGTGGGCGTTGTCATCTTGGATGGCGGCGACACATCATTAGACCCCAAGACAGGAGGTGGCGACCACTGTGCAATGGGTTTGGAGAGACTTTCTGTTGGGGCACCAACTCGGGGAGGCAACGTGAACCATGTTCATTCGTCAATCTCGACTGGGAACAAGGATATCAAGACGATAGTGGACGAGGCCTGTAGCAAGGGCCCAGATAAGTCTGATTATATCCGCTCTCTATCTTGTGCTACTACATACTAACTTCTACACTCTTCACTTTAGTGATCGCCGAGAGCATTCATAAGGCTCATGATCCACACAAGATTCTTAAAAACGGCGTGACGCTTGTACTCTCAAGAATGCCAGACGACGTTCAAATGACGCGAGTCATGCATTTTCTACACGGAGAGATGTCGCTCGTTATACACGGGGAAATATCACACATTGGGTGCCGGATCTCCCCATCTCGCAGCTCTCTATAAGAGACTTGAGAAACAAAGGAAATCTCTTCAACCGCTACCGGTTAAGAGGGTACTGAGGACTCCGAGAGAATCCTGACTCGTGAGCCGCCAGCCAGATAAAGGAATCTATGCCTAACACTTGCTGCCTCTTTTCTTGCCGCCTGGTTGCCGTCTGTGCCTCCCGTTCCCACTTGCCGGAGGGTGGGAGGGAAGGCTGCAGCCAACCCCTGGACTGCCTTTCGCTCGGTCGAATGCCATTCCGCCGTTCATTCCGGGATTGAAGATCTTTTGCTCCGGTTTGTTCACTCAGAAGTCGGCATGGTGCACCACCGGTACCACCTCGGTCCAGCCCCAGTCAGGCCTTTCCAACCCCGCAGAGCTTTATGAAGCACGTACCACTCAGACGCAGGCGACCCGACGAAGACATGCTGAGGGAAGCCGTCACTACGACCGAACTTCAGGAGGAAATCTTCGATATGAGCCTGTATGATATCCACTAACATCCTCCAGCGGACTTGGCCTGGCTTCCAGGATATTCATTGGCCAAATGATCACGCGGTTCAAGAAGGATACAAACGAGATCGAGACTGTCAAGAATTTCAAGCCATGCATTGCCCTTTGGGGATGAACACGGAGCTTGCTTGATCCCAGGAACCGTGCTCGTGCGAGTTCCCCGGAAATGCGGATGAGAAAATTGAAGCACCCGCTGCTGTTCTGCGCAGGGCCCAGATAGAATTCTTCACCTTTCTGGCTACGCACTTGAGTGTAGTCAGGCGAATCGAGTTCTTCAATGTTTCATTCGTGAGTGAAGACTGGGTTGAAAAGTCTAGGTCGTCAGCATTCAGGTATCTCCGCCACGTCCAGTTCTGAAGATGCCCTGGTCGGACCGGAGAATGGATGGTAGCCCCTGGCAGCAGCATCGTTCAATGGTAACAGACAAATACAAGTATATCCATCTGATGAATGAAGATCCATCGGCTATCAGCACCTTAACTATAGGCTGATCATGGGCCTTCTCTAGTATTTATTGAATCTTTATGACCGGGGCCCGGCCCCGAACTCAGTGGAAACGGCCTTGGTAAATGTTGAGACTGTGGAAGTCTATGCATTTGATGGTCGGGAGTCTACTGGTTTTGAATTCTTCTAGATGATGAGGAGGAGGCCGCCGATATCGATACCCATAATGTTGCCATTTCCTTCCGAGATCTGCAGACCGTCGCTGTCCCGGTGCATGTTGATGGCACGGATATTGCGGACTACTGGAGAGCAATGCGCCCCCCTGCAATCCTGGATTGCTCATGTCGTGCTTCATGGTCTAAATAATGCGATTATTGATTGGACTACACGCTGACACCTGCCCAGGGCGACCCATTGCACGACATCGAAGTCCTCCTGTGGCGCCGCCTTTTCTCCAATCTGTCGAATTTTGCCATCAGACACAAACCGCGTCTGCTAGACTCACCGGAAGTTCAACTAATAAGTTCCTGGTTGAGTTAACGCTCACCGATTCATTACTTTCCCGGGAAATCGCGCTCTTTCTTCCTCACCTTCAGCCAATGGTGACGGATAAGGCCCTATTTGCAGTGGGGATCTTCGAGGCTATCAACAAGGCCGCCAACTCTGCCATTGCTGCTACTTACTGGAAGCTTAACTCATAAGCAGAAAAAAAGCAGAAAAAAAAAAAAAAACTGGCTGAGTTGACCTCACCAGATCATTACCTTCCCCAGAAACTTAACTTGCTCTTCTCTTTCCTCCACCTTCAGCCAATGGTGCCGAAAGAAGAGCCCTGTCTAGCAGTGGAAATCTCCAAGACCATCGACGAGACTGCCAAGTCTGCCATGGCCGGCACTCTTGACCTCTCCAGCCCAGAGCCACTTATCGACCTCGGCAGGTGGGTAGCAACCGGTGAACAGTACAAGAACAAAAACTCAAAAGCCAATCGTCCTGTGACATGTGGCACGTGCAATATGGGATTTGAAAGGCCATTATTTTTCTGGCACCCAGAGCTGGACCCGGGCTCGTGCAGATGATGACGCGATATGCTCTGCTTGTCGAAGAGGAGAAGCCGAAAATCCGGCGCAGGTTGGCGGCGATGCCTTCAGGGAGTGCAGGGTCCTGGTGGCTTAAGAACTCTTGTCAACAACGGTGAGCTACGCATGTCCATCTGCAAGAACTCCAAGTCTGCCGGTGGTATACCATACCTTACCCACCAACCACCACCACCACCACCTGACGAGTAGGACCACCTCCCCAAGGCTCCTCATGCACCGCACCGCCTTATCCCTGCCATCTCAACGCCATCGGGCTTGAAAGAAGTCACTTGACTGCAGAATACATACACATCAGGATCATACGGGTTAGTGGGGAAGTATGGTATTGTATGTACCTAGGCCGAAGGATATTGATTGCTACATTGGGGTTCTTTACTAGGGAACAAACACCATATATGATCCGTGAGACCAAGGTCATATTTGGGTGGTCCAGCGTTCTTCCCAGTGGTATAAAGCTATTAACCAGGGAAATTGGTCTTTGCGAGTTGGCCATATTGTCATTCTGGCCCAGAGGCACTATATGTTATGTGGCTTTCCTGATTTCCATCGAGAGAATCTATGTGTGATAGCTGATTAGTTTTCTGATCATACGCTGGTTACTACTTAGGAAACTCAGACTATTTTGTCTCCTTTTATTTTGCAGTAGGCCATCTATTTTATGTACGTACTTCCGATCCGGTTTCTTATCCTCGATGAGGGCGATGCCAATATCTTCATGCCTGTCCAGTAGCGATGCAGAGCTGCTTGTGCCGTGGAAAGATGCATCTACACATTTGAGAATACCAGAAGCGCGGCGACGGCTACTCCCCCAAGTTTATAAAAAATGGAACGCGAATACAGATGAAGTGGATTCGGCTCACTGCCGAAGCATGACATGCGATACCCAAAGTCGCGCTGATAGTCTATGGAACTTGAAGAGAATAAAAAACACCCGATCTTGTCTTCTCTTCCCAACAGGTCCTTCCCCATCCACATGTAAACAAGGCAACGGACGTAGAGAAGTGAAAGAAAAGAAACTTTACTCTGTGAAATGTCAGGATCTCATCAATCTATTCATCAAATTCCATCGGCTTTGTTTCCCCGTAGAGAAGAGCAGAAGGCCAAGGAACAGGGGAAAAGAGAACAGTGGACACGGGAATCCCAAAGCGTCGGGATGGAACTGGTGTTAGAAAGAAGAAGAAGAAAGAATGCAAGCAAGGAAAAGAAAAGAAAAGAAAAGAAAAGAAATTATCCATTGTCATCTTCCGAATTCTTCAGTGCAAACGCCATCGCAAGTGTCAATGTCATCACATGAGAAACACAAAAACAGAACCGAGCAACAGCACCAGGGCAGAAACCCCCCACATGGTATCATAAGCGAATCTCAGAAAGCCCCAGCGCATCATCATCATGCATCTACTACTGTCCATCTCCCCAGACGGTTTACTGAGAGGCGCACTGCACGCGCTCAGCACCAGGAGGAACATCATCGTCATCCTCGTCCATGGAGGCAGCTCCATGGGCACGGGCCTGGGAGTAATCGCTGCCGTCGATGTCTTCAAGCTCGAAGTCCTCAACCATGGCATCGGCTGCGGGCTTGGCCTGCTCCAAACGAGGAGGCAGAACCTGCTCGAGCAACTCGAGGTTCTTGAGCTGGTCCTTCTCAGGGAACTTGACGTCGAACTGGATGTAGAGGTTGCCGAAGTCGTGGTGGCGGTAGGAAGGCATACCCTGGCCCTTGATGACCTTGATAGCACCTGCGGAGACTGTCAGTAAAGCACTGGACCACATGCTAAGCGGGGGTTCTAACCAGGAGTGATAACCTCGCCAGGGGCGATGTTGACCGTCAACCAGCGCTCATCCAAGTGCTCAATGTTGATGGTGCCACCGGCGAGAGCGGTGAGCAGATCGATCTCAGCCTGGTAGAAGAGGTCGTCGTCCTTGCGCTGGAAGCGGGGGTGGGGCTTCTGCTCGATCTCGAAGACAACATCACCGGGCATAACGCCGGGCATCTGGTCACCCTCACCGCGGAACTCGATCTTCTGGCCGTTCTTGACACCCTTGTCGACGTGGACGTGGAGGACCTTGCGCTCGACCACGGTCTTCTTGCCGTTACACTTCTTGCAGCGATCCTTATCGCGGACGATCTCGCCTTCGCCGTTACAGTCGGGGCAGACGGTCTGGAAGCGCTGGATCATGGGACCCATCTGGCGCATCATCGTCTTCATACCGCTACCGTTACAGCCCGTGCAGGACTTGACAGCACCCTCCTTACCACCGCGACCGTCACAGCCCGCGCAGATGACGGACTTCTGCAGCGCCAGCTTCGACACCTTACCGCGGTAGATGTCCTCCAGGTTGACCTTGTGAACGTGGTGGATGGTGCGGGCTTTCTTGGGGCCCTGGTCGCGCATGCCGCCGCCGAACATGCCTCCGAAACCACCGCCGCCGCCGCCGAAGAACTGGGCGAACAGATCCTCAGCACCCATACCACCGCCGGCACCGCCGTGCTCGAGACCCTCCTCACCGAGCTGGTCGTAGAGGGAACGCTTCTGGGGGTCGGACAGAACCTCGTAAGCGTGGGACAACTCCTTGAACTTCTCGGCAGCTTCGGGGTTGTTGGTGTTCTTGTCTGTCGGTGCAGGAACACTGATTAGCGCACCGAACGAGATGACTGGCGCGTTGGTGACGGGAAGCACATACCAGGGTGATACTTCAAAGCACCCTTCTTGTAGGCAGTCTTTAGTTGGGCCTCAGTGGCCGTGGGGGCGACCTATCCGTCTCGCTGTTAATTCGCCAGTTCGAAACAAAAACTCAGATTTGCAGAAAAACCTACCCCGAGGGTGTCGTAGTACTTGGTTTCCTTGACCATTTTGATTTAAGTCTGAGAATTTGAGAGGACGGAAGGGTGGGGGTATCGAGAGAGGTCGAAATCAAAGAACTTTTCAGAGGAAAGTGAAGGGTGAGAGGGATTCAGTCGGCAAGTCTACAGCTGAGGGTATGAAAAAAGCGACGAAGGGCGGAAACGGGGATCAGAAGCGCCGGGGTTTCGAGCAGGGAAGCGCGCACAGCGACGAGAAGTGAAAGAGAGGGGTGGATGAGGGTGAGAGGAGAGGAGAGGGAGGAGAGAAAGTGGGATAAGAAAGTTGTTGAAGAGAGAGAGAGACCAGACAACTCGTTCGGGATTATCAAAGCCAGGGAGGGAGCAACAGCGAGCCTCAGGCGGCGAAGAAAAGAGGCGGAGTTTAGTTTGGTAGCTGGTAAAAGTGTAAGATACCGGTAACAGGCACCAGACTTGCCAAGCGTTGCGGGCGGATCTCAGGGATTTGGATACCGGAGATACGATGTGGCGAAAGTCCGGAAGTATATAGAAAATTATGCAAAATTACTTAGTATTAGGAAGATGAAGAGGATTGCAGTGAGAAAGAACTAGAAACAGAGACAACGTAACCAACCCTGCCAGACCAGACGCAACCAGGCTGCTTTTGAACCAATTGAGAAGTGTAAATTCCCTTATCCTCCGACTGAATGGTGAGGTTCTCGTTGTTTCGACTGCCCCGTCATCCGCCGCTTTGCTGGCCCGAGCGCGCCTGAAAGAGTTTCCGTGTCTTTCGGTCGTCTTCCATTGCTTTCCATCACTTTCCATCCCTTTCTATGGCAGCAATCAGGCTGTCCCGGTTGGTAATCTCCATACATCTAACTTCAAGTTTACAGGTCTTTTCATGCGGAAATTATCCGACCTGATCATCAAAAGGTTGATCATTTTTTTTTATCAGATTGTTGTCCTATGTTGACAATAATTTTCACAATCAAGAGTATTCTCATAAGTTGAAGTGTCCGTAAGTTACTGTCTGTATTGCAGAATCAACACACCGCTGAGCCAGGAGCCAATCATATCATGGCTCGGTGTTGGTTGTCAGGCAGAAAAGTCTCAATGCATTTAAAAATTCGCAACTTTGAACTGTGGCGCTGCCGCCACGCCACCTCAGGCTCACCACAACACAGCCTGGGCTATTCTAGATTAGGGAATATACCTGCCAGTTAGGGCTCGAGGCTCAACTCCTTCTCTACAAGAGGATGGCACAATTTCTCTATAAGTGGAAACCTGAAGTCGAAAGACGGGCCTTGCACTCTCCTGCTTGTGCTCTCCCACTTGTGTCCAAACATTCAACCCCAGATGTTACATCCTATTACCCACTTGCCCACTACCATTTGAGCTTGCGCGAGGCTACGTCTCAAAGCAGCTTCCAAAACACGATTGGAGAATTGTCATGCATTATACGCTATGCCAAAACCGAATATCTAGATACCAAATGCAAAGACGAGATTCATCAACCCCGTGTCGCTTCCAGATATGCTCATGTACAATTCTAGAACAGACACAAAAACAAAAGACAAAAAAGCCTTGACAGCGCAATGCCATCTGCCCCAATCTATTTCTTCCCCCACTTCTTCACGCGGAACACATAGTAAAGAGCAATGGCCGCCGCCACGTTGAATCCCCAATAACACCAGAAGATGCCATAGTTCCGCCATCTTTCATCCCAGTAGATCCAACGGAGCGCCAGATACTGGTCGGCGGAGGACATGGAGCAATACTCGCAGCCTGCGGTGGCGTTGGAGTTGTACAGCTGACCCCCGGTGGCGGAGACGTAGCGATCCAGATACTGGCCGCAGGTCTGGCCCGCGGGCGGGTCGAAGACACTCAGCTCCGCGGCGTTGCACTCCACGGAGCGGCCGTGTAGGATGGTGCTGCTCATGCCGCCGATGTAGTAGGTAAAAGGAGAGACGCGGTACATGAAGATCCAGAAGCCGGGGAGATCACCGGGGGGCTGCATGACGCCATTGAAGATGAAGGAGAAACCGAACATCAGAGTCGCCAACATGGCGGCGAGGGTGGGCTCGCCAATGGCGCAGACAACCAACTGGGCCATGCTGGACGCATAGATGAAGAACTGGACGATGAACAGCAGGGCGAGGCCACGTCGCTCGGCGTCCTGGCCGGTACCTATCACCGTCCAGTAGTAGCAGGCCCAGGAGCAGATGCCCAGGACAATCTGCCAAGGGATCTCGACGAGCACCTGTGAGATGATGAACACCTTCCACGAGTAGGTTCGCGAGGGTCGCTCGCGGACCTCATAGAGGGCACGCTGCCGGACAAACTTGGGCATGATCTGGTTGACCAGGGTGTTGAAGATCGTGCACAGCAGGAAGATGCTGAAGAGGGTGTTCTGGAACCCCTGCTGCGTGTTGTTGGACTTGAAGAAGGAGAAACCGATGAAAAGACCCGAGATGATGCCGAGCACGTACTTCGAGAACAGGTACTCGGGCTGGCGGTAGTACTGCTGGAAAACTCGCTGCAGGACGTAGTAGAGCTGACTGGTCAGGGGCATCGCGAACTCCGCGTCACTATCATCACCGGGGTGCGTCTGGGGCTCCGGCTGTTGTTGGGCATCTTGGAGCCGGGTGACCTCGGCGTAGACCGCCTTGAACTCGGGGCTGCCGTTCCAGACCTGCACCCAATCGGGCCCCTTGGTGTTGTCCCCAGAGACAATTTCGAGAATGTATTCCGCCGGGTTCTCCAGGTCGCCACAGGTGCGGCCGCCGTTGCGTTCGAAGTAGTCGAGCAGGATCTTGGAGTTCGGGCCAATATCACCGAAGTAGACGGTTCGGCCTCCCTTGGCGAGGAAGAGCAGGCGATCAAATGTCTGGAACAGAAGGGCACTCGGTTGATGGATCGTGGCCAGCACTGCTTGTCCGTGGTCCGCCAGTCGTCGCAGGAGCGAGCAGATGGTCCAGGAGCTCTGAGAATCCAGGCCGCTGGTGGGCTCATCCAAGAAGATGAGAAGCGTTGGCTTGGCCGCTAACTCGACACCGATACTGAGTAGTTTTCTTTGTTCCACGTTCAAGCCCTCGCCCAGTGAGCCTACCACGGCCTCGGCGAAGTCTTGCATGCGCAGGATCTTGATAACTTCTTCCACGTACTCGAATTTCTCTTCCTTAGGCACAGACCGAGGTTGGCGAAGCATCGCGCTGAAACGGAGGGCTTCACGAACGGTGGTGGTTTCCAGGTGAAGATCCTGCTGCTGCACGTAGCCGGTTCTCCGGGGGAAATTGGCTGCCAGCGGTCGTCCGTTGACTACAACATCACCGGTCACCACGCCGATAGAGACTCTTTGAGCAAGAACATCCAGAAGGGTGGTTTTACCGGCGCCCGAAACACCCATCAGTGCTGTTAATGTGCCAGGCTTGACCCATCCGTTGACGTTGTCCAGGAGCCGCCGTGTGCCCTCTTTGACCGGGATGTCGTAGTTGAGGGCTTTCCATGAGAGAATGTCCGTTTGCTCAGGAAGATGGATGACTTCGTCCTCGTTGCTCTGTAATTCCGGCTTCGGGGGAGCTGCCGTACCACCTTCCACTCCGTCCGAGGCGGCCAAAAACTGAGGGACGTGTCCCGGGCGGAAGACTAGAGTCTCTGCCTTGGATGACTCGCCAGTGTTGATTTCCGAGAAGAGCAAGCAGGTGCAGGTGAAAAAGATCATGAAGGCGAGGAGAATACCGAAATTTCTCCAGATGTGGGAGTAGTAATACTCGTAGTTTTGTTCGATAAAGGCATCCCCCGAAACGTAGCGTTCGCCAGCTACGGCTCCCACAGCCGAGCAGATGAATGAAGACCCCGTAGCATAACTGGGAATTATCGATGCACAAGGAAAGTTCCGCCCATGAAACTCGTTAGACACCAATGCCTCGAAGGCATAGAAGATCGGGTTGATCCAGCGGATCCAAGAGAGCCATGGGTGCATGTAGGGTTGCGGTAGGGTGAAGCCGGTATAGACCACGATGCAAAGAATCATCACACCAGCCATTGCCATAGCTTGCGTAACCGTCTTTGTCGCTGCAGCTAATGTCCGGAAGATTCCCGACATCGTCAAAATCGCCATGATCAGAAATAGGTAGTAGATAAAGAACTGTGACGGTTCCCGGCGCAAGTTGGTCATGAAGTAAAGGACGATACAGAAGACGGAGCAGCGCACTAATTTAATCGGTAGGTCCATGATTATGCTGGCGAGGGATTCGGCAAACGGATGGACAAAAGCATAGCCTGCCTGCTTCGAGGCAATCGGCCTTTGGCTGTATAGTTGCATGATCTCATTCATCGTAACCAAAGCGTTCATGAGGACGGAGAAATACAAAACAGCGCCTTTCTGGAAGAAAGCGGTGGTTGTGTTGGGCGAGTTGTAGAAGATGGATCCAATAACCAGAGACAGGATAACTTGAACGATGACCGTGGACATTGCCGTGGGCAGATCATTGCGGAGTCGTTGGAATGCCCTGTGGAGACAGAGACGCACCTGCATCGGGACAGATAGAAGGTACGGACTTTGAGCTCTGGTATGACGTGCTTGCCGCTCTTCATGGTTTTGCTTGAACTCTCTAGCTTCGTCGGCATTGACTGGGTGGTCGCGTTGATACTGCTCTATCTGAGCACAGAGCTCTTTGTATTCGGGGCTGCGCTTCCAATAATCCGCGAATTCCTGAGGGGTGCGAGGAACCTTGTCGACCATGTCTGGACGTGCCTTGCGCTCCCCAGGGTTAGTGATGGACGTGAGGAAATCGCCACTAACTTGACGTTCTGGCAGTTCCCATCCCATCTCCTGGAAGAATGCCACAGCGCGATCACTAGGGCCGTAGTAGATCTCGTAGCCTTCATAGAGAAGGACGACCTTGTCGAACAGGTCGTACATTGACTGAGATGCCTGATAGGCGGCAACCGCATGGCACGACTGTCCAATATCAGCAGCAAGGCGTAAGGACTTGATGAGTTTTAGGGCCGACGCGGAATCCAAGCCGCGAGTACTATTGTCCCAGGCTCCGATCCGGCTCCTAGAAAGGAACATTTCAGCGATACTGACTCGCTTGCGCTCGCCACCACTAACTCCTCGAATGAAGTTGTCCCCAACCTTGGTGTTGATGGTTTGGGTAAGGCCGAACACCGAAAGAACGACTTGGGTCAGCGTGTCGACATACTCTTCACGCGTGATTCCTTCGATGCGTCGTTGAGGGGTACGCGCGTGAGCCGCAAATGAGAGGGTCTGGCCAACCGTCAGATGGGGGAAATGCTGGTCAACCTCCCCGTTGTAGGCGACTTCGCCACGATGATGCTTGATCATGTCATCGTATGCCAGTCCCTGGAACTGGATATTGCTTTGAGGTTCAAGAGTCAGCCCCCCAAGATGTCCACAAAGAGTCTTCAGAAAGGTCGAACAGCCACTCCCTGGACGACCAAGTACAAGAAGCAGCTCACCACTCTGGAGTAGCCCGTCAAAGTTGTGAAGGATCTGGCGTGGGGGAGGCGACCGTTGCCCCGAAAGAAGTCGGGAGATTCGACGGAAAGGAGTCGTCAGCTGCGTGAGAAGCGTTTCCTGGAGGCGTAGTGCCGAACCCGAACCGGAGATACACAAGTTGGAGAAGACGACGCCCTGAGTTTGTGGTGTGATTCCTGCCTGACTATTTGCCCTCAGAACCATCGCTGCCCATCGTCGATGGTCAAACTCCGGATTCGTGGGATCCAACCGGGGGTCGTTCTTTTCATCGATAGTCGCAGTGTGTGAGATCGTCCGCCCATGTCGACTAGAAGCGATTCGTGTAAGATTTTGAAGCTCCTCCTGCTCGTCTTCAGATGTTAATGATACGCTCGACTCCGACCGATGGTCACCGAGCACATCTCCGACTTTCTGCATGGCGCTGCCGGATATGATAATAGACTCGCTAGAACAATCAGTTGATGTTCAGAGGATAGGGCCTCTGAGCCTGGAGGTTTGTGGCCTATGTTGCCCAGGGAATGAGGTTGTACGAAAGAGAAATAATAGTATAGGGACAAGCGAACCTAGAGGTGGATGGATGTATATCAGGGAGGACAATTAATTAAGTATGGATTACCCCTTCCACCCTCAAGCAGCGTTCATCAGTCTCAAATTCAAAATGCTTCCAGACGAAGACGTCGGCAAAGCGCAGACCGCAGCCCGAGACTGGACCATTGGTCCTATTCATCATATTTTATGGTTATGCCTCGAACTCGGAAGGAGGTCAAGCCGGCCCCACGAGATGGAGACGGCTATTCTAGAATGCATTGGCCCAGGCACCCCCGAGTCGCCATGCACAACTAGAAGTATGAGTACAAGTTTTTAAGGCACCGCGCCTGAGGAACGGAGATAGTAGATCGGTCCCGAGCCCCGTGGCAGCAACCCCGTTGGTAAAACCAAATTTTGCACTCAGGAGCGGAGCCACTTCGCCTTGTTGGCACGCCGGCATTCGCGGTTCAGAGGCCAGGGGTCGCTTAAAGTTTGTCTTAACTCCGACTGTCACCCCCTGCAAGTGCTCGAATCGAGGGCTGACTTTGGAGAATTTCCATGCTTTTTTGCCCTCGCCACATGCGTCAAATCCGGCTTGACGCGCCACAAGGCTCACAACTGAAGGCCAAGCAACGAATGAACCAATCCAGAGGGAACACTTTGTGGCATTTCTAGTGCTGATTAATCGCGCTGAATTATCGGTACCGTGACATGATCTTCAGCACAGAAATTATGCACTGGGGCAGTCGGCGAAACGGGATTCCTGGCGCCGACATCGCGGCGCGCCCGCTGCCCGATGACCGATGGTGGGTTCACGACTGTCATTTGAAGATGGCTCGAGGTTAGTACCGTGGTACAGCGTTTCACATCTCAGGTCCAACACTTTCGTGAATGGAAACATCCAAGGGGCCAGGGGGAGCTCGTCGGCTATTGCAGAAACACAGCGTTATCTCCGTCCAACGGGTCAAACGATGGGGAATGCCTGTCATCAGGTGATCTCGAGGCGACAAGATATACATATACCCTCACTGCGGGAAGGATTCATCGTTAAGCCATTGCTTCTGCGGCATGGTATGTAAAGCCGTTGAAGCCCGTCTAGTTGAAGTCAATGTCAGGCTGTCAAGCGAACCTCTGTAGGCAGGTGGGATTGCCAATACATCCGAATTTCGAGGCAGCTAACTGTCCTCATATCAAGGCGAAGCCCCTCAATGACACTCAGGGGTCGAAATCATCTCCAGAAACAAAGTTTCATAGTCACGTAAGTCCAAGTCTAGAATCACGGCCACAAATTTGGGTCGTAATCACCGAAGCCTGGAACACATACTCTATTCAAGTACGCTGCATAACAAGCCCGGGGGATTATGGATTGGAAAGGAGGAAATCCCATTCGCGCTGCTTGCTGCCGCCGCCGAGGAAGGAAAGAAGAGATTCAAACAGCGCAAACAGAGCTTCGTCCCCGGGCTACCGAACAGGAAAGCGGTGAGGCCCACCACGCAGCCAGTAGCTAGAAAAAAAACCACACCACAACTTGACTCACTCTTCCTTTCCTTTTCTTCTTTCTTCTTCTTCCTTAAGCGCCATCCTTACCAATGCTGCGTTTCTTTGCTACACACGACGAGATCCCCATCTCGTCTTCCCGGTTCCTGGCCGATTCGTGAGAATCGGCCTTCCCGGGAAAATTTCCCTTGCAAATGAGAAATTCGGAGGAATCTTCACCCAATCACCCGCTTCCCCCTCTTCACAGAGGAGGGGGGGCCGGTACTGCCCGCAAGGGCCTGGTGTGATATGCACCTGCAACTGGCATCAGAAACATCGGGGGAGTGAAGGGACAGACTTTCTGGCCCCCTTTTGCTCGTTTCCCCATGGGAGAGTCGTTGCGAAGATTGTGTGCCACTGGTGACACTTTAGTGCAATACGCAGCATGCCCTGGTCCCTTTCTTCTTCACCTCCTTTGGGGGGGTAAGAGGACTGGACCGGGTATAATTCGATTCCGATTATTCTGGTAGGGATGGCGCTTCACCCCTCTTTTTTTCCCAGGTCAGTTTTTATTACCCCGCTCCCACTTGTCTATCCGGCGTTGTTATGTCGCTTGGTGGGAGACTGGAAGGACTCTTTGAAGCCCTGCTAATTTGTGGGGTTGGGGCTTGTATGGTGCAAGTTCTGTGCAGGCCTTTTTTAGGTTGTCAGGCTGTTGGTGCTTGTTCCTGAGTGCGACTTATGGCAAGGATAAAAATGAGTGAACTTCGGACCAGGGATAGTGTAGCATGAAAGATCTTTTTCTATTAGAGATTCTCAATACATTACTGAATGTCTCGCGCAGCTTTACCAGCTTTTAAAATAACAAATGTAGAAAGACCGGCGCATCGAAGGTCCAGTTACAAGAATACTTAATTTCCCTTATAAACCAATTGAATTTTGAACAATTGAAACGCTTGATATCTAACAGGATATTATAATCGAAGAAGTGAACCTTGACCCCCGTGCACACAATCAAGGGATATTTTCTGGTGGTGCGGTGTGTCAATGAAAACGAAATAGAAATGGAAATCGTGGCCTCCCCGTTGCTCCCTCTTTTATCATGATGGCATTCGTTGCTCTTCGCAATCATTAGTCTACTCCTCGTCACCAATCTGCGTACACAAGTTAGTTAGCGAGGCGATTGAAATGAGCATCCAGCGTAGAGACAAACCTTAGGAGCAAGGTAAAATCTAAGATGGCCGCTTCCCAGACCATACTCGACGAGAAGGGGTACCTCCTGCGACAAGCACAAAGTCACCTTGTTGGACAGGTTGGTAGCCTTGCAGAAGTTGACGAGGTATTTGAGAGAGAAAGTGAGGGCGACGGGCTCACTGAGGGCAATGGAGACGCTCTGCTCAGGCTTGTCGACGTTGCTGTGTTGACGGACAGTGACAGAGCCGCTTCCAATGTCTCCCTGGCAGGAGAACTTGACACCCTCCTTCGTGGCCTCGATAACGACTGTGAAAAGGTCAGCTCCATCCAGCAACTACTCGTTGTTCTCAATGCTGTTGCACATCGTGGTGCAAGGAAGCATACCGGACTCAGAAAGAGCCATCAGGTCTCTGCAGATGCGCTGAAACTCTGCTGCCGGCATCTCAACCGTAGCAGCGTACTCTGTCTCGGGAATGGCCAAGTGTTCTTGATCAATGTCCATCAACTTGATATCGTACTCGCTCAGTCTGTCGGTCTCGGCACTCTCGAACATCAGGTTGACGGCATCGGGAGAGTCCTCGGCCTTAAGGGTAAGAATATCCTCGTTCTGAGCAGCCCGCAGGACTTTGGTCAGAGAAACCAGGTTGATGCCGAGGGCAATGTTACGGTCGCAGCGGTAGGGAGAAAATCCTTCGGCCTTGAGCAGCATGGAAACGAGGGCAACATGGGAGTTATCCATGGCCTGTAGGGAGATTCCGGAGTCATTGCAATCGAAGTTACAGTCCTGCACGAGATCCTTGATCGCGTCGACGACCTGAACAAACCGATCTTAGCGACGGGGCAGGGTCATTTGTGGAATTCAATGGTGAAGGTACGTACGCGCTTGAGAAGACTAGCTTGTTCGAGGCGAGCTTCCAACACTGTGAAGAGTTAAGATCGCAGTCAGGAGAAAGATTGAAGACTTGGTGAAGCATACTCTTGATGTGTAGGTGGCGGTGTGGTAAAATGTAAGGACTAATTAAGATGAGCTTGATGGTAGGAATGTTCTGGACAAATGCAATTATATCAGTAATTGTGACAATATGAGAATGCAGTGGTCAAGAAATTGGGAGGAGTGGCGTACAGAGAGAGAAGTCGAGAGTTCTGTTGAGTGTGTCTTAAGTTGAAGAGAAATTGGCTAAAGGAGCAGAAAGTGCAGCAAGGTCGCGTCCGCGGGTTTCTTATTCCTACTAGTGGGGGAGGCACGCGTTCGGGTCGCGTCATACCACAGGCTGATATGACCCGTTGCGGTTAGCCTAGCAGCCTGAGGCAGAAATCACTTTAAAACAGCGCCAGCCCCCTCCTCCCATACTCAGTGCTTCATGAGAGATATGACTGCAAATGGCATCTGAATGGAGGAAAAATATGATTTGTTTGTGCTCACCAATTAGTACGATATATACCACATTTGCCCTAATTACGTTCAATTACTCGATGTGTATGTACACAAGGCAGTTTCTTCTTGACAAATGAGATAAACTGGCCATTGCCAGTAGTGATAGGTGTAATCGCAAGACAGTACAGAGTAAGAATAAGCAGGCGAAGAATAGTAAAGGATAGTACACAGTTGAAAAAAAGAGTAGTTGAGCCCTGCAACGCTTCGAAGACAATTATAAATGTAGAGAGAGAAAAAGAAAAAAAAAAAAAAAAAAAAAAAGAAAAAGAAAACGAATGCAACACCGCCCAAGCGCCTGTGACACCAGTCCACTCTATACATTTTTGGGTATCAATTGCATGATTTGCTGGCTAAGTTCGGATTCGAATCGAGACCGGAGCAAGACTCTGAAGAGAAAAATTATGTGCGAGGATCGAAGGAGGAAATACGACTGAGGTCTGATGGAGCAGTCGTAATGGATAGGTATGTGCTGATCGCCGATCAGATGCTCGTAACACGCTTCGCGTACATAGTGCGGGGTCTCTGCTTGATAACCATCTCAAGCTCCTTCAGCATGTTTGTATTTGCATCAGCACGATCGCGTAGAGCGGCCTGCCGTGCCCTGTCTTCTTTGACACGGGCGATGCGCTCTTCTCTAGTCATGGATGCCCTTTTATTGCGAGGCGGCAGAGCAATTGCTTCAAAAATCTCCTCTGCGTCATCTGCATTGTGGATAATGAATGAATCGGGCCTTTCTCCGTTCAAAGCCCTGAGTGCATCTGCCGGGCTTCCTTCAACAGCCGTGGAGCCCCCAAGGCTAGGGGTAGGCGACAGAGGGATTTTGATACCACTCGTAGGCCGCGAGTAGTCTGTGTTGGGTTGTCTGTCCAGTGCGCTTGCCAGGGCTGACTTGCCCGCCTCCCATTCTTGAAGCAGACCCTTGATGTCTGCACCGATAGATTCATATTGAGGAACGAGGGTTACCTCAAACTCGCTTGAGTCCGGCCGTTCAAGATTTGCGCTCGATGCCTCTCTGAGGATATGCATTTTGGCGTGAAGTGCCCGAATCCCTTGGGAAAGGGAGTTGATCCGACGATACTGTGCCCGAAGGTTGTCCTTGTTAGGCGAGGCGGTTGGTAGGGGAGAAGGAGGAATAGCATCAGCTAGAGCGATAAAAAGATTAGCTTGAAGGCAACATTGAACCACGGGCATGCATACTATCTTCTTCGTTCAAAATGCTGGTCATTTTGTGCGTATTTTCCCCGGTCACGCTGGCCAGGTCGCGCATCTGTTCGACGGCAGTGGTCCATCTCGCAATATCAGACCCACCGCCATCGGCCCCAAGGGCGAGAAGACAACAGAGAATGCTCTTTCTCACAACATAGAGTCTTCCGAATAACGTCCGCAGCGCACGCAGAGAGTATTGGTCTTCGGTCGCTCGGTCATGGTATAACCCTTGTGCCTCCACAAGCTCTTCTTCAGAAATATCATAGATGTCGTAATATTTGGCCAGGTTGGCGTCATCGGTAAGAGGCTGTAAGGTCTGTTGTACTTGGAGGTATCGACCTAGCATGGAGTGAAAGGATTCGGATACGGTGCGACGCAGTCTCAAGCATCGTCGTATTTGCGTCTGGTCTTCTAGTCTGCTGATCGGTGGTAGAGGTGTGCTTCTATGGAGGAAGTCAATCAAAGCCGGATATAGGAGCAAAAGGAGACGGTCACCTACATGCGGTAGCCTCTCGAGACCAGCTCCACTTCCTGTATAAACACGACTGATGCCGATGCAGCAGAGTCGAAACCCTGCGCATTGCCTATAAATGCCGCTGCCGCATCTACAGCTTGGTGCCGCAGATACTTCAACCATTGCCTCTTCGCGAAGGCGAAATAAAATACTCCGATGACAGGGACCAATACCAGCAGCACCCCCATCTTCCAAAGATTGAGTCCCGATGCGGGCTTTGAACGGCCCCATTGTATTAACCAAGCAACAGAGAACGATGTCGACGCGGTCACAAGGGCCCCTTGTAAACCAAAAGTCGCGGAAATCGAGGGAAGGTCGGCAGGTCGTGCAGCAGAGAATACATCCGCGGCTGAAGTATAGGAAGGCGCACTGTGCTCGTTCAACAACTGAGAGGCGACAATAACATAGCCGAATTGCTCAAGGAATCGCTCGTTGTCGCTTCGTCCGACGCGCGAGTTCAAGGCCGACTGCAGGGAAAGGATCTGGGTTAGAGTGTTTTCGGCGCAGAGAACCTCATGAATGAGCTATGGCGTCATACCGTGCAGGCATCATAGAGTTTACCCAGAGTTGCCCTCTGTCGCAAGACCTTCTGATCAAGTGGTTTGGGAAGTTTATTTCGAATGCGCTCCTGGAACTTTGAAGCCCCTCGTGGGGCGAAATCCGCCGTGGTGGAATCGGAGAAATCGTCGCTATGCTCGGTCTCCTGAACTGGCCAGTTTGCATCGTGCTCACCCTCCGCTGACGTGATAACGAATGAGACCCTGGAACTCCCACGAGGTGGTTTGTGGTCGAACTCACCTTGGAGATATTCAGCCAAAGGCGAGTTCTCATAGACAAGAGATTCCATGATCGGTAAGCATTCCGGAAATGCGAAGCGGGTGAGGTGGAGCGAGGCGGCGGTTGAACCGGGAGGAAACGCAGGTTGGGTGTCTCGAATACAGGTACAGTCTATCTCCAGAATAACCAGCGCGTAAAATAGCAAGATTATCGCAAGCCCATCTCCGCGACGATCCAATGGGGCGCTTGATAAAGTCGAAGGAGAGGGAGTCAGACAGAAGAGTATTGAATAATGATCGGTGGAATTCGGTCGGGGGCGAGAGATGGGGGGGGGGGGTGGATGGGAGGAAAGGAAACGGGAAATGAGCGTGAACGGCACTAGCAGTTGAAAGTGGTGAAATCGAGGCGTGTAAGGGAGGCTGAGTGGATACTCTTCAAGAGGAACAGGAATAGACCGGTGCACTTTTAATGACGGGCGAAGATATACATAGCACGGATTACCCCTGGCAGATGGAGACCCGGAAAGTGCACTGTGCCTGTGCAGAGGAGGACCAGAAAGGTACGGAGTTGCCAAAGAGGGCCACGTTGGAGGATCAGACCATGTGTTGTGAGTGAGAGTGCCTGCTAGTGAGTACAGTCTGGGGAAACTCGACCGCTGAGCTTCTCTTCCGCACGCAACTAAGGATTTAGGCGCCCCCCACCACCGATTGATGCTCTGCACAAGAGGTCGATCCGACCGATTTTGGTTGGTAGTCTTTTTCTTTTTCTTTTTCTTTTTCTTTTTTTTTTTCTTTTTCTTTTTATTTTCTGTCTTTCTCTCTCTTTCTCATCGAGATGAGGCTGTTGACCCTGAGCAGCATTTATCCATCCTACCGGAACTGAATGCGATCGCAGCTTGTGAACTATTGAGTACAACCCCCTGACCGAGGCTCGGAGCTGTGTTATGCAAGTCATCAGTCCGGCGTTGGAACCCAGCTGCCAATATATTATTCCCTTCAGCCTATTGGTACACTTGTTTCATATCGCTCAAATCGAGGTAGCTCACGGAAGCCGCCGGCTATAACCATGGCCCATCAACTAGCGATAGTAATGGTCATATTCGAGTCGCCTAGCGTTGACAGAAAGTGGCCCATTCGAGAGTCCTACTCCCCTATTATAGCCAGGTTAATACGTATACGAAGTGCTCAACAATTTTCAGCATCCAACAAGACTGACAAGGTCGCCATCTTCGCCAGGAGCATTGATATCAATCACCTCTTCTCTAGAGTTTCGAACCATAACATACTTTCAGGGGGTGTAGTGTAGTGAGACACAGAGCACGAAAATGGTCATCTCGTTTTTTGGAACCTCGGCAACCCAACTGTTCTTCTTTAAGGACACCAGACGTTGAGATTACAATCGACATTGCCTTGCTCAACGCACATGCATGCGAAGGTTCATAGGTGATAACTAGTCCTGGCTGGACCCCGACGGCTCGCCCTTTCCCCGGAATGATGCACATGCATCTTGACGTTCCTTGCATTCTTAACCTTAAACGCCCTCAAATTATCTCACCAGTCGGGATCATAACACCAAGTCGCTTGAGGATTAGGCTAGGATGAACTATCATTATTTGCGGACTGCTAGTAACCGTGTTGGTCTCCTCCATCCGCTTGCTTGCGAGGCATCGGAGTGACGGACGCATAGTCATGTTGATACAGGGTCGTCTTTGAGCGAGTCGTGTACCAGAGAATCGTTTGCACATGACTATTGAAGATAGGTGTGTACTATGAATATGGCTGCATGACACAGTAACGGACCGTTGAGTGAGAGACACTTTGATGCCTCAGGTGTCGAGTCGCGTTGCGCCGGCAACTCAGCTGTCAACACCGCGTTCTCCATACCTCACATCCAGACCCATCTCGTCCCAAACTTCATAGGATGAGCTTTATCATTTGCCTTCAAGCTAAAGTCCACCATGCTATTCCAGGTGTAAATGCAAGGTTTCTACGAACGAATACTTCTTTCACTCGACGCGTTACCCTCGGCGCAAGACTACCAACTTATATTTCCGCGATCAAGCATGTTGATCCGGCAGAATATTTAAAGCGATTCGAAAAAAAGACTTCAGTCGATCACTGCCATTGATACGTCTCTAATCAGAATTAACAAAGATCCTACTTACTACCTTTGACTATCAAGATGTCAGGCTACATCTATGATGCCGCAACCCCCTGCCCCTCGCGACAGATGACTTCGGGACTCAATCAAAGCCGCATGAGGAACTCGCTCGATGGTCTATGGGACACCAGCATCACCAGCAGTGACTCCACCGAAAACATCGACTTTACAACCGAAATAAAACCATCAGTGCTGACGGGCGCCAAGCCCAGACGCAAAACTCGATCGAACGCGTCCTTCCTGATTCACGACGAATCCGAGGTAGACTCCGCGCAAGCTGCGCCGGGATTGAGAAAGGCACCAACTACCGCGACAGCCATCGCTTCGTCTCACAGAAAGTCCCTGCTTACCCAGCCGGCCCAGAGGTTTCGTCCTAAGGTTAGCTTTATCGCTAGCCCACAAAGAAAATCACGGCTCTCAGGAGTCGTCACGTCAACGCAGCACAGAGAACGAGGCCAGGAAGAGAACAATGAACTTTTATTGCAGATAAATGGCGCGAGACAGAAGTCTCACCCTGGAGATACACTCAAAAAAGCTGTTCGACGCAACACGGTCTACATACCTCCAGATGATACCACAGTTGCGAGTGTGTTCATGGGGCTATTCAGTCCCCAGAAAACTGAGAATGTTGAAAATCTTCTTCGAGAGGACGCACAGATCAACAGCTTGGAGGTACAGATCGCACGGAAACGACAGGCTAAACGATCCCTTAAGTCAGCCGCGCAGCGGGCGCCGTTGAATCCCAGCACGAAAATTGCCCAGGGTGCTAATATCCATGTCGACGTGCCTGGCAAGAATGGTGGGAAGGAGAATATACCACCTGGATCATTCTTCAATGATAGTAAAAAAGACCATCAAACCTTGAAGACCAATGTGCCCTGTGAGCGCAACCAGGCTGTTGCTTCGAATGGGAATCGAACTCTCGGGACCAAAGTTGCCTCAAAGCCGACGAACTCGGTGCTAGCTTCCAAGACAAGCAATCGGATTCTGAACAAAAATCAGCCCGAGACCAGAAAATGCCCATCCGAGACCGAGCCAGTCAAGGGACATCCAGTCCACAGCAGGAAACAGACAACGTGTTTCAACCACGAAGCGTTGTCAGCCAAAAGCGATGAGGCTCCCATATCAGCGCGTAAGACCATGATAGCGAAGTCGAGAACCCCACGGGTTCTGGAAGCGAAAGAGCTCACAAGAAGTTCTTGTATCATTCCCGACAACGTCACGAAGCCGGAATTGTACGAGGATGATTGGCTCGGGCACCAGGAGGTTCTATTGACCCAGCTTATGAATGAGCTATCGGACACCACTAATCACCACGCCGGTTGTGTCAATGCTAGCAAGCTCAGAAATGAGCTGCTAATGCTATACCAAGGTGCCTCTTTTATACAATTACAGAAACGGTTGAAAGCATCATTACTCTATGGTGCTCTGAGCCTGCCAAAGGATGTGCTCAATGATGCCAGTAAAATATATCGGGATCTGGGCCTAAAACGGAAATTCCTTGACTTTTGGATCCATACTTATGACCTGCAGACTCTTCGAGCAGCACTGGAAGTGATTACTGGGAGAAAGATTCCAAATTCAGTGCTGGCGGCGGGCACCGACCACATTGGCGGAGAAAAGGCCATGAAACGGAAATTGGCAGGCTTCTTGGACGTTTTCTTTTTACAAAACCAGGACATGGATCGACATCCACAGGACTGTCGAGGAGAGGATGGAAACATCGCGGGGCGTGCATACCGTCGAACCTTTCTCCGGAGCATCATGATCATTGTTCTCCTGGATCAAGCAAAGCAATGCTCTGCGGTGTCCCTACCACATCTCCTTTTCCAGCCTTCGTCCTTGTACAAGTCCTCCAATGCTGTCTTGCAGGCACTGGGCCAATTGCTACTACCATCGTGCGGCGACATCATCAAGGCACTGTATCATCTTGATTGCCAGTTGTCCTATGAGCAGCAATCTCTGGCGGAGTACGAATTTGGAATCAACAATATTGCTGTGAACCTGCGTGATGGAGTGAGACTGGCACGACTTGTCGAATTGTTGGTTTTGAGGTCAGTCTCAGTTGGAGATTTGGAAGACCAGAACTGGCCATTGTCCAGCAGGCTTAAGTTTCCCTGCGTGGGACGGGCAGTAAAGCTGTTTAATGTGCAGATCACCTTGGACGCACTGTCTTTGATGGATGAGACAGGGAAGCTTGTCCACAATCTGCGCGCGGAAGACATCGTGGACGGACATCGTGAGAAGACTATCGGACTACTCTGGGGGCTTGTCAGCACTTGGGGTCTCGGTAGGCTTTTAGATAGTCATCAATTGCGGAGGGAAGTTCATCGACTGAGGGCGACCACTTCCCAAGGCTTGATCTCAACATCCTCGGACATTTCGGAAGGCGAGAACGATAAAATCAGGTCCTTGCTCAAACAATGGGCGAGTACCCTAGCGGAGAACCATGGGCTGCACCTTGAGAACTTCAGCACGTGCTTTAGCGATGGGAAAATCTACGAGTGCATTGTCAACGAGTACGAGGGTGATATGTTTAGAGACGCTCAGTCCTTACCATCGACCCTAGAGTCTCGCCTTCAGGCCTTGGGGTGTAGTGCGCAGCTTGGTGAGTCGATAATCAAAGTAGCCTGATTGTTCTGCAGCGACTAACCAACCTTTAGTGAAACTGATATGTCCATCTGCTTCTGGTGCTCATATCCCCGATGCCTACTTCACGGTTGGAGTCCTCGCCTTCCTCTGCTCTCGAATATTATCTGCCATCAAACGGGCATGAAAGGATTGGGTCGCAGATGCAATGCATCACAACATGGTTGAAAGGCGGACCTCAGGAGCAGCATACAGCAAGCGAAGGAACCATTACTTTGCACATAATTTTCTGAACGATAGGAAGAACAAAATCAAGTCCTTAGGATGATGAGGAGTTTACTAGGAAGCTTGGGTTTATTTTCATTGGGACTCGCTCCGGCCACCTTCACCGATACCAATATCAACTTCAACATTTTCCTCCTGAATTCTTAGAAGCCACAATGCAAAGCAAATACTCCTATTTATGAGCTCGTACATATGAGCCATTAAAGTGCAGCAGATAGCGCTTTCTACCTGCCAGGCCTTGATATGTAAAAAGCGAAAGACACGGCGGCATCGTATCTATAGAGATAGTACATGATTTGGAGGCATGCACAGTAAAGCACCCAAGGCTCACCTTCGTCTCAATAAACAGACTCCAGATTGGTCTTCCTTCCTTTTCTCCCCTCTCTCTTCCTAATACCAAACGATAGGACCATACTATCCACAAAGGAGACCTCTCTACCCCGTATCGTTGCTCTCATCCTACTGCCTAACTCCCGGACCCAGAGCTTAGGTCAGACCTCGCCCACCCAGCACCACAAATCACTCTGCTCTGCCCCGGGACTATATCACATACGAGCTATATTCCCAAGCTTGGTCGGCTCAACGGATCTTCGCGTTGCGCAAGCCTGAGTAAGGCCTACGCTGATTGTGAATCCCAGGAGCCTGAAGCAGGGCATGCAATGTTGATGCCTACACCGTCAAACTGGAGCGATCTTGAAGCAATACTACACAAAATCCTAGGACTCTCTCACAGCGGTCAGCCAAGGAGCTGTCTGTAGGGTGCTATTCGACCGATGATGCTATCCCAAGCATTCCAGCGTGGAGATTTGCGTCACCGAGAGGGCAACTCCTACATTGCCACGAAGTACTCGTAATAGAAATCTACTCTGTCATAAAGATATTACATGATATCACATCCTCTTCGCCAGTCTTCGTAACCATTCTCGTTTGAAACACCGAAGTAACGAAACTTACGGTCGTAGGCCGTTACAGAACAGATAAAAATAGGAGGAGGAGGAGGAGAAGAAAATGATAGGCCGCCAAGTGACTGACCCCGACCCCTTCAGCCCTGCCACCTTTTCATCATATTCATACTACTGCGTAGTATTGCTAAATGACTAGGATCATCGCCACGGCTAACGATCCGTAGAGGCCTGATGGGGGATGACATCACCAGGTCACATCTTTCCTCCGTGTTGAATGTGATTTGAGTGACTGACTCAATAATGATTAAGAAGATAGTGGGCAGAAGTATAGGGTGAGTAAGAGACTCCCTCACAGCCACTGACTGAGCGAGAGTCGGGCTGCAAACGGTGGGTGGTAGGGTGATGACGTAGCCTTCTTGTTCGTTCGGCCCCGGAAATATCCGGACTGTTGTATCTTTCTCGGTATACATTCTCTTTTCTGACATCTTGTTGTTGTCGAGGTGATTTGATTTGTAATGCATAAGATTCTGACATAATTCCAGCTGTATAATGATATAATCCACAATGACTATCAATGCGAATCAATGCGAACAACCTTGAATGGCAGATCAAGTGACAAATGCGGGGAAAGACACACACACAGAGAGAGAGAGAGAGAAGCACCCGTGACATTCGAGAAATTTGCCCAAAAAGGGAAAGTAAGCAGCAAAGTGGCTCGGGACATCATCATGGAGAGGACTTGGACTCTCCCACTCTCTACGCGGTCGGAGCCTCTCTCGTTGTGTCTCTCTTTCGCTCTCTCCCTACAACCCGACATTAGCGGCCTGCACTCTACTCCTTTGGAACGTTGAGGGGGCTTGAGTTAAGCTACCTAACCACCCTCCATGTGTATGAGTATGTACCTGTGCTGGATCAACCTTATTTGCACGAGCCATCATTGGATAAGATACAGAGTCGCCCGCCTCATGATCATTCCCCCCGTCGATCGCTGATGCGGAGAGGAACAAGGTAGGTTGGCCTTTTGAATATCATCCGAGCATGCATTCTGAACTTACAGTGCACTACACGGCCGACGGGCCGATCAGTCAAGTCAATTCGCACAAACACTCGGTTTTCTTGAGCGGAAAGATCCCAACTGCTTCCATCTCCTCGTCTTTCACTTTCGTCTTCCCCTTCATTTGGGTTGCAATGGATGGCAGTGCTGGCGACGTGGTTCTTGGCGATTGATAGTCCCTGAGATCATCGGACGCATAGCCTCATTATCTGGACTGCTAAAAGCAATTCTGCCCCTGCGCAGTATCCATCCGACGTGTTCATGTTCAATCGTCCGCAGTGCCAAGAACCAGCTATGCATCGCTGAAGCAGATGATCGACGGCGATCCTCGTCCAAATCAGGAACTCCCGTTTCTTCTATCGTGAGCGATCTCGCAGCCAAACGGCTCTTTTCGTCCTCCCTCCAAATCCGTAACGTCTTGGCCAGACAGTGAAAAGCATTTGGAATGGGTGGGATCTTGGCATCACTTGGCCGCGCGACCAACTCAATTCGAACCGTCCAGCGACAAATTGCACCGTGTAAGGCAAGGCAAGGAGAGCAGAAGGAATGTGATCGAGAGCGGAGTACGGAATAAGTCGGTAGCCGCGGGAGGGAGTGGGTTGCATCCTCAACCGGCCAGGCTTTCTTTTTTGTTTGTGGGCGCTCTCTCCTTCCCTTCCCTCTCTTCCCGCGGCGGTATTATGGCTGTGTTCTCTCTTGGCAGAGGTGAGCTGCTCCGGTCGTCACACCAGAGGGGGGGGGGGGGGCGAAGTCATCGGACGTTGCCAAGCAATGTGGTGGAATGTTGCCGTGGCCGGTCAGAAGAGAGAGGTTGAGCAAGGGGCAGTTGGATGGGGGGGAGGGGAGGAAGGAGGGATAGTCTTTGCTTTTCAACTCAAGAGCAACCGCCGCCAACTGATCGCTGCATGGAAGGAGACTCAATGTTTCCCCCCTTGGCGCTCTTGGCGGAGGGGTCTTGGCCTTCTCAGTCGGGAATTCACTGAGAGGTGCGGGTGATTATCTCTACCCCTTGTGTGTCTCCAAATGGGGGAGGACGGACGATCACAAGACCCGTACTATGCTTGCTATGTATGGACTGCGGAATCCCTCCCCCCCTCCCTGGGGAGAATGTCATCACCCTCTCCCTCCCTATTGTGGCATTGGCATTGACACATTCCAGATGGTTACCTACTATGGTAGGATTCCGGACGTGCAGTTGGACCCGGCAGGTCGGTCACCCAGGCTTAGACTTTCTAGACCTCTCTCCTGCCACGACCTTCCCTATGATTGACGCCGAGTTCTGGACCCTCAAGCAAGGGTGAGGTGCCCCCATGTGCGACTTGGGTTTTTGACCATCACTGCAGCTGCGGCATCTGGCCCAGCAGCCCAAGCAACGATCTTATATTCCGTGTGTATCCAACTTACTGTACATGGTATGGTATTGTGGTTACGGCGAACGAGGGCCAGGCCGAGCTTTCGCCAAAAGTACCTCCAAGGTGCAGGCAGCATGAGCGGAATTCTGAATCCTTCCATGAAAGAATCGAACATGCCACCCATCTGGTGAACTCGGAGAGACAAGTGCGGGTTGCAGCTGTCATGACGGCAACCTCGCATACATCCGGTCTGAGTGCTATGAAGCTAGACTTATAGGGGGAGGGGAAGAAGCAAGAACGGGGGTGTTCATTGATTGATTCGACGATTAGCTCAAGAGTAAGAAAACGCTCGGTCCATCTTCCATCATCCGCGGAGGAAGAGAAAGAGGGGAAGGGGATTAGGGACCGGGGGGGGGGGGGGGGTTGCTGGGGTGTGCTCAGAGGGCAATATGCGCCGGGTCGGCCGACCCTAAAGCGGTTATACGGGATTCAAAGGCTGACCATCAGACACGCAGTGATTGCCGTGCCGGACGGCGTGTCTTGGGGTTTACTCGATTTGGGGCGTCGTGCATCAGGAGGCAGAAGGGCCGGCGCAAATCCGCGAACGAAGTTCTTCCGTTGCCGGTGGAGCGAGAGGGAGAAGGCGAGTGAGCGAACGAGCCAGACAAGAGAAACGAGGAGGTGAGAATAGGGTATAGTAAGCCATCGTTAAAGTCTTCCCTCCACCCCTCTCTTCATCGTCCTCAACGAACTCCTTCGGAGTACATGAAACGACTGGGTGCCTTTGTGCAGTGCACACGGGGCCCAGTCTTACTAAGGTAATTAAATCCCTCATACAATTTTGCCCTTAGGGCCGACGTCGGCCGGTCAGCGTTCAGCGCTCAGCAGGACTTCGCTGCCTTCTGGTCACCAGGACCAATAAGATATGACATATACCCCCCCGTTCGTATGTATGAGATGCTGTAGTGTATGCCACTATGCCTACTTGCTCTCTAGGGTGGAGGGTGGTGGCTGCTCGGTACTCGACAAGAGCCCTGTCAAGTGCGAAGTTATGCTATTCTTATCCCATTGAGAGAGGATCCGGGAATGGGTCTGAATATGTATAAGGAGTGGACTAAACAGGGGCAACCATCCTTCCACACTTTGTACTGGGGTGTACAAAGTTGAAAAGGATGCCAAAAGCTACAGGGGTAAGAAGTAAGAAGTACCGTCCTGATTCCGCAGGACTCCACCCTCCTCCCCATTTCCGCGACAAAACCACTTGGACAATCGCATTCAAATTCTGGTTGTTCTTTGGTCTGTTTCATTGATGCTTGCTTGTTTGCTTGTCTGCTTTTGTTTGTGTTTGCAAACACTGTACTGTATGTTGTCACTTGATTCAATAGGAGTGTCGAGTGCGGGGAATCCACTTTGCACACGCACGACGTGTTGTTTATTTTCCGTTGCTCCACTACTCCGTACTATACTATGGAGTGCAATGGTCCGATACACTTGAACCCCCTCTCCTCCCCCCCCCCCACGTCTTGGTCTTGAATCCTTCTCCGTTTCCCCTCTCGAGATGATGTCTTGTTGAACGTGTGCAGTTACTGCCACCGTGGACAGTCCTCACTACTCAGAGCCCATGATTTCCTCTTCCGGGTAGCCGGTGACTGAGTGACTGAGGTGGACAATCGAGTTGATGCTGCCGGCCGCCCGACGTACTCCGGCCTTATTTACGTGGGTTTTCGCTTCACTTGCGGATATAGTACTGTAATACTGTAGTGAAGGACCGTAGGCTCTAAATGGTGATGCTTCAAGCTCAGCAATAAGCCCATCTTCACCTGATAATTTCAATCAGAATATATCCCACATACGAGTATAAAGTACTTAGCGGGTAATGATCACCAAACCCAACGGACAACCTCCAATCCTCCAATCCTCCGCGATCCCCAAACCCCAGGATTCGAAGACGATGGGATTGTTCCCGGACGGACCCCCAACGCCTCGCCTCCTTCTCTAGACGTACGGTACTAACTTACATCTTTAGGCTGGAGTTGGTGTTGTGTTTCCCACCCCCCGAGCCGTGCCCGGTAAGCCACCATGCACCTCCTAGTGTTTGCCTTCCCTTCCCCCCGGTTTCTCATGAATGTTGGCTGCCCGCCCCCGGTCAGCTACGGATTACTGTAGGGAGTGTTCCCGGACGAGCGAGCTTCTTTAGCTTAGCCTGGAGCGTGTTCTGGGTAGAGTGGTTATGTTTGTTGTGCTGTATGTATGTATGTATATATGTACTCTGCAGACCCTGGTCTGGATACTGCTGTAGGCTGTAGTAGGATGAGGGGATTGAACACTCCGGACGGGTCTAGATTTGCGGAGAAGTGGTCGAAGTGATGGCAATCGCTTGCTCTTATTTACATTGAATACGGAGTACCCTACAATAGCTACGGTGCTCACTGTTTTGTTTACTTGTTGAGGTCATAGTCATGGGGGTGTAGCAGATGCCCGAGGGAAACTGGGGGGGGGGTGTAACTCGGATGAAACTGGTCCTCCACCCCTCCACCTCTACCACCACCACCACCAGCAGCAGCTCACATCCCTCCAGGACCAGGTTTACCTTACGCTCTCCCACCTTTTTTCTTTGTTGCATTGATTGGATCAAGGTCGTAGTAACGTTGGGAAAGAGGATCGATTAACTTGATGAGGTAATGCAGACGAGCCCATCCGGTTTGTGTTTTGCTGTTTCGTCGTCGGTGTGCGTGGGTTGGAGGGCAAGTGATCGCTCTTCATGTTGTATGTGACCTATTGAAGATGGGGAGAGGATTCTGTCAGTGAGAAAAAGGCTCACCGAGGAGACGGGAGGTTTCGCGATGCTCCTCTTGCTAAGCTCAGCTCAACGCAGCTCCGCTCAGCTACTCAGCTACCTTTCTCAAGTGATCATGACTGGATGCTTTCCCGGGATATCATCGGAGGATAGAGGCACAGAGGAGAAGGAGGGCGGTGATGGGACCTGATTGCTGGGATGATCTGATGGCTTTTGCGTTCGGCGATCTAAGAGCCATGATGATGTGTGGGTGGAGTTTTAGCTATTGACCAAATGGAAAGAAATATTCAGGTTCATGATTTTCTGAGAGGCGAGCGTGGGTTATTGGTTGCGTGACTTTGTGCCCAGGGCCATGGTGGTGGTGGTGGTCGTGACAAGGTGGGGATAATCCCTGAATCGTGGGAAGCTTGTCCAAGAACTCTCGGTCTGTGAGTTTACTTGGTTTACTTGGTTGAACTGTAAATCCATGGAAGTTCAATATGGCATACATGTGAGTACAATGGCTACCCTAAAAGTGGAGGACAACTACAGAGTATAAACACAAGAAAAAAATAAACAGCATCCAAAAGTTAGATCTCCGCTTTTTTTGATCGGGGCGATCCAAATAGGACTGTCATGTCATGTCAGATCAATGATCATGAGAGTAAAAGTCCAGTAGAGTTCAGGTTCTTACCAAAGCACACTTGATGGCTTGCTTGCTTTGCCTTGCTCCCAACCCCCTCTGGGTATAGAGTAAGGTTGCCAGGCTGAAGAGGAGATCAGGTTCGCTGTCGTCTCCGGGCACTGAATTCGCGCTTACCTTACCTGAACTTACCTAACTTACCGTGTCCGTCCCCGCCTGCCTTTCCTCTTCCTCCTCTCGCTCGTCGCTTGTTGGCGTAGTTTCGCTGACCGCTTCTCTGACTGCTAGTCAGTCAGTCATGTCACTTCTTTCCAATTTGCCCTTTGCCCATCGCCCATCGGGCATACTACAATACTCATAGCCACCGACTGGCAGATGGAGAACAATGGATCTCATTCAATTGCCCATTCGGTCATTCAGCGCCGCCCCCCCCCCCCCCTCCCTCTCCGACACGAACCACTCCCCCCGGAAATCCGGCATCTTCAGCCCAGCTACTACTGCGTAACAAGTTTTTGATCTCTCGGGATTGGAGATGGACGATTCGACAACCCCTTAGTTCGTTGTCGCTTGACCCTACCTTAGGTTCCCATAATTGCTTTTTTTTTCTATCTGGGACATAGGCACCCAGAGCTTGGCGTACGCACTGCGGAATGTGTGTTTTCGTATAGTGCCTGTATGGATGCATGAGTTGTATGTAAATTACTGGAATCCTGGAATCCATGATGCTGTCGGTTTCTTGGCGCTGGTTCCCTGCCCCTTCCTCCTTTCAGGAGTTTTATGATCGTCTCTTGGATTTCTTGTCGTGAATGCCTAAATCTATATTGGTTGATGGTGCTGGGACGCTTTTGGTTCTGGGTGGTTACTGGGCTGGGTGGTTAGGTTGTGGCTTAGCTTTTGGACATGTTGTTGTCTGATTTTCGGGATGGGATGAAGTATAATCTCTCTATCTAGTACAGTGCTCTGGTGGAGCGTCGGGAGGTAAACAATGACAGAGCTACCGTGCATCTGCACCTTCAAAATTATCACGTTCTACTTCTCCGTCTTGGTTTGCGTCGGATTTATTGATGTATGCGTAAAGTCTAAAACAAAGATCAAAGACATCGTAGATCGGTTTGTCGCATGTGGTCAGCCTCAAGGGCTCTGTTTCAGATACTTACACAGTAGCTCGACGTTCATTCGTCCATAGTTGCTCAGATCTACGGATGCACTGTCTACGATGCACCTCTATCTACCTACCCCCGTAGTAGCTTACTGTGCTAACGATATAAGATCACACTGCATGCTTATCCTTCAAAATCATCAAAACACTTAAAAGTGCGTGACTCGGTTTCAATAAAACCTAAATACCCCAAAAGACAACTTCCAAAATGTAGGTAGGACAGCCAAGAGCCACCAAGACAAAATCGACTATAGTTTCCGCCCGGACTTGCTCTATTGATTCAGAATACTAAGCTGTGACCTCTCCCCTTCTTGCTTCTTTGGATTCGGAGTCTAGTTATCATTCAAATCACCACGAACCTTAACTTAGTTCACGCCGTAGCCAGTGAGGAAGGTTACGGACCACCACCTGCATCCCATCCCCATCCCCATCATTTCGACCGATCTAGTCCCTTGCGATCTCCGCCGGTACGGCTGCTAGATCTGATGCGAAGCGATTGTTCGATGATTCTCAGCCATAGTCTGTCAGGTTTGGTTTGGGGGCCGGGCTAGATCCTCGATCATGGGGTTCATCGCTCTTTCCAGACCCTCAGAATCTCTATACGGTCATTACATTTCTGGGCACCCCTACTCCGTACCCGATAGCGTCATGAACCGTCATGTCCGTGAGTTTCGGGAGGAAGGGCTGGATTCCTTCCCATGGTTGGTGACGGAGTAAGGTGGTAGCCGTTGCAGAAAAGAAGGGTCACCATCCATCCATCATACTCCGGGGTAAGAAGAAGAAGAAGTAAGCTTGAAAGTCCCCCTTCCCCACGTCGTCATCGCAGGGGGTTAGGGGGGGTGTGCAGAAAGTAGACAGGAGAGTTGAGTCTCATTGAGTCTGGATGGCCGATGACCGGAGGAAGAAAGGAGGAAATCGATCGGGTCCAGACATTTTACTCTTACTCTTTTCTTCCCGATTGTGATATAATGATGAGCAGCTTCGAAACTTCACTTTCCAGTTTCCGCTGTTGTGGTACGATGTTGTTTTTTTTAGTGTCTGATCGGCGTGATCTGGTCTCTCTTTCTGAGTGAGTAGTACTGCACAGTACTAACTATCTATCTAACCGACACGACTGGCCAAAGCACTAAGGTCAAATACGCACTAGTCTCTTCGTCAATCAGGGGCACACACACACTTTTGCGTAGCTCAACTCCCAGCGATGGGAACCGGGAAAGGCTTTACGTCAGAGCCGCCAAGATCGTGGCTTTTCCGGATCAGGAACAAGCTGGCCATTGGAACCAGGCTCTATTGCTCAAGTGTGTCTCGGCAAAGGCAATAGTCGAGAGAATACCAAGCATTCATTATTGGAATTGTTAGAGGCC